TGCTGATTGAACTGATTGCCACCAAAGTCTTGATAATTTCTATCCTCCCTTCTAAACTGATCACTTTCGGATCCCCGTTCATCGTTTAATTTATAATTTTCATTCCGTTGACCGTACATATCATTTGATCTAAACTGACTACTCGTTTGATCAGCGACACCATCTCGAGCAAAACGTTCTAATGGTACTCCGTCTTTTTCTCGATTAGAATCATTAAAATTATTTGGATGACTTACTGATTCGAAATTATTTATGGGACCACCTTGACCTGGACGTTCATTGTGCAAATGACTTCCATCTGGACCGCTATTATTATTTGAGCCAAACGGAGGAGGTCTTCCTTGTATATTTGGTGGAACCGAGGGTCGTGCATTTTGATTCTGTCTGGAATCGTTATTAGCAAAACTTGGAGGCGGCTGCGAGAAGTTTGGTACGCTTGAAAAGTTCGGTGGTGGCTGTGTGAAATTTGGTGGAGGCATCTGAGTTGGCGGGCCATTAAATGGTACTTGGGATACGCCAGACATAGACTGAAAATTAGGAAAATTTGATACGTTTGTGTTGTACTGTGGCGTCCATTGCTGAGAATTCCAAGGTGATGAATTCATCATGTTCATGACTGATAACTGAGGTACTGATTGCGAAGTTGCTTGGGACGAGGACGTCATAGTTGTTTGAACGTTAGACACTGTGGTTTCGGTAGCTGGTGGTGGAGGTGGCGGTGGAGGTACGTTAGCATTTTGCTTCCCAGTTAAACCAAGAGTTTTTCCAATGCCTAACAAATTATTAATCAATCCCTGATTCTCCGTACTCGACAGAATGTTCATTATTTTATCATCACCCGGCAAACTTTTATTTTTTTCGACTTCTGCCTTAGCAGTAACTTGCTTTTGTTGTTCGCGTTTCCTACGCATCTGTTCGCGTCGTTCAATAAGCTTCTCTCGCCAGGATGTCCATTTCGCTTCGTATTGCTTGTATTGGGTCTACAATAAAATGATATCTCGTTTTTTTTTGCAAAAATTAAAGTTAACACTACTTCACTTACAGGAATATCAATTAACATGTTTCGTTGCTTCTAACTGATCTACAATAATAATAGTAACATTACTTACCTTGTCTGGATGATTAGCATTTTGCTGTTTCCACTTATTAAACTGTTCCTCCCACTGTTTAAACTGGGCGTCAAATGTTTTCTCGGCCTCAGTTAGTTCTTCGTCTTCAACTTTCAATTTCTTAGCACTAGGAGATTCACTAATGGCGTTACTACTACGTTTACCAATTACATTATTATTCTCTTTACTATTATTACTACTGTCAGGAGGTAATGGAGGTTGATTCGGAGGTAAAGGCGGATTCTGAGGACAATTTTGAACGTTTCCCTGCTGCACCGAGGTATTTGCATTTTGTTTAACAGGGAATAATGGAAGATTGTTTTGATGAGGTGGAGGCATGCTTGTAAACTGATACGTATTCATTGTGGTTGGAGGCAATGGTGGTTTTGCATCCTCTTTTGGAAGAGGTGGCGGAGGTTGCACAACTGGTAACTGTGGCACCTGACTAGCTAAGTTCAAGTTCTGTGCTGATATGTGCTTCATTGTTTCCTGATACTGAAACAAGAATTGAAGCAATGAAAAAACATAAATGAATGTAATAGTTTAAAAAATCATCTCTGCTTCAGTTTTATTGTATTTAGAATTTTTATATGAATAATTTATATGTACATAATTTTATAATACATTAGTTTCTTATATACCTTCTCCCCATATTGTGCTTGCCACTGCTGATATTGTTGTTGCCATTGTTGCCACTGAGCCCAGTTTTGTTGTTGAGCTGCAGCCCATTGTTCTGCTGTATATCCACTAGGTGCCTAACAAACAAAAATATATATATAGTATATGTATTATTTATATTTGGATAAATTTTCCATGTAGTTAGATTCCAATAAATAAACCATTAACATACTGTAATTTTTTTGTTTTAATTGAAATTAATACAACTCAGAGTATCTAAGGTTTAGCTGTTCAAAGTTATGACTATGACTAATCATTTTAATAGAATTTTTAATATAATACTTACTGGTTGATTATAATACTGCATGTAAGCTTGCATCATAGCCATAGGATCTGCTCCTGGTGTAGCATAACCAACTGGTGGTTGTGGCATTGGAGTGGCAACAGCACCAGCTGACAATTGCCATTGGTTCCAATTTTGCATTTTTAAATTCTCTCTCACTCTAGCAAATGGTTTGCTAGAGCATTCCAAATTGTTTTAAGGGCCGCAGTCCGTTTGGACGCTATTTTATATTTAAAGAAAACTATTATAGAATTACTGCCACACATGTACATACATTAAAATAAGTATCCCTATTCATTTATTTTATTTTCTTACATAGTACAAACGTTCATAAAAATATTTGCAAGTTGCACAAGTAGAGAATAAATTGCTTGCTAAATAAGTAAGAATAATATTATATAAATGTCCTTAGATTTACAAGTTTACTCATTAATGTTCACAATAATTATAAACATACAAATATGGCAGATTAAATGCTTAATCAATTTCCTTATGCAAATATATTGCATGTTTAACTCCTTAACGCTCAAATTTTTCTGAAATTTACCGTCCAAAAATGCACAAATTTTTTTTTTGCATAAATTCATATTCTTGGTATATCATATTTTATGCATTTATAATATGGTATTGAATTATTTTTACTAAAATAACGAAGTCAAACTCAGGATGCTTTATTCATCGAGGCTGCGTTTGAACTCAGGACGGATCCCGGCCAACACGCACGAGATTTCAAGGGAATGTACACTTCTTAGAACCAACGGATTTGATGACTTATCGAATTCATTTTTGTAAAATAATAATAATACAAACAAATTTAAAAATTATAAAAAGAAAATTGAGAAAGGCGTATACTGTTTTCTAGTCCCTCGAAAAATAAAAAAACGAATAAATATTAACGGCAAAATCTCGGGGTCTTATCTTTGTTTATTAATGAATATACAATGAATAAACCGTAAATTAAGATGTACATATGTACTTTAGTATAGGACACCATGAAGCAGATCCATAATTATCAGCGGCTAAACAAAACAAACCGCTAAGCGGCGATCGGGTTTGTTATGCCCGTGATAGTCACAGGCGTGAGCGCTAAGGGGTTAATTACCAAATATAAAAAATTAAAATAGTACAAACATATATTATACATATACAAGAAATTATAAAATAAAAAACAGCATAGTAACATTTGAAATTATAAAACATAAAAGAATAACTTGTATATATACAAAATATATCACTTTGTTTTATACTTATTACAGAAGAGGAAGAATAAAACTGATCAACTTTTATTTGCCTTTGCATGAAGGAAACAAAGATTAATGGACTGTTAATGCATACTTTTAGAAAAAAGATTTACAGTCAATATTAAACTAGATACATATATAAATCCTTCTTCCAAAATTATAAATAAATATCAGAATCCAATGAATTTTGATATTTCCTTCTTCCACTACAGCAAACAAAAGTTTCTTAAAATTAAAACTAAGAAGTATAAGAATTTATTTAATATTCACAAACATAACAATGTTACAGGAGACTTATAAAAAATTTTAAAAAGAAATGTTGTACCTAAGTATGGTAAGAAATAATGTATAACTGATAAGCTTATAGCCACTAAAGTATACAAATATCTTAAATGTATAAATAATATTATCATGTAATATACCTTGCAAAAAATTGTGTAGTTATTTATGTAAAATATATTCTGTTAATTATAAAGTTAGAGATGTATTTCAAAACATACATGAAAATTGCAACTGCAATTAACCTAAGTAGTAACCAAATGTATCAATTCCCATCGTGACTTAGGAATAAAATTGCAATCTGTGTTTTACATATTTCTTCATTGTACAGTCTATAAATAATGCACAAAAATGTAGTGCTATGAGACACATTTAAAAGAAGAAAATGCTCAATGCAGTGAGCTATGAAATGCCAAACTGGGTCAAGTAAAATGCATTGATTTGTTCAACATAAAGTACAATAAACACAGAAAACCATGGATCAAGATATTATTCCTTAAATGTATCCGAAAAGTTTCAAAGAACTTTAAAACACCTTGATGAAATATAAAGATTCGGTAAATTTAGTATGCTGAGACAAACACATTTATGAGATCGCCATGATCATTAACGACGTATAAATCTTAATTCCGCAAACTATTGTTTCCGGCAATATATTAACCATAATTCGGCAAATATAACAAACATTTTATGGTTATATTTACACAAATGTATTGTGTCAATCAACATGTAATAAGTTGTGAACAACTTATTGTTTTTAACGTCTTTGTAAGGGTGTAAGAACGAAGGTAAGTTACATTATAAATAAACAATATTGATAAATAATACTCACGACTGGATGTCCGCGAAGCAGTGACACTTTCGGTCGTTGTAAAATTCACAAAAATCGTATTTAATTACACGATAACTACGAAGAATTAACACAAAAATGTCGAAACCGTCGGAACTCGGAACTAGTGAAACTTATGGCGACTGGAAACGGTGGGTCAATTAAATTTCTAGACACTAAACAGAGAAAAATGTCCCTAGATTTAAACGCCCGATTTGAGCGGTCTATTTAAATTAATAATTCAAGAAGGAGTTTAAATTTATGATTATTTCTAGGCCATTATGTAATTACATCGAATGCAATGGACTTAACGAATATATAATTAATGTTATTAAAATTCAGTACAAGATTTGTGATACATAATCATTTAAATTATTTTCTGTAAATGTAAAAATACTGCATGATAACATTTGCAATGACTTTTTACTATCTTTCATATGCGGAAAGTTAAACAAGGAAAATCATTTAAAAAAAAGAAAATTTGAAGCATCATTAGAAAAATACAAACTTACTGTAAGCGATTACTAGTATCATAGTAGATATATTTATACGAAACCAGTTTGCATAATGATGGGAAGTGGAATCTCGTCCCTCAGTTTTCTTTAGACCAGCATCATCGTTGAACGTTCACGATGACCGCTCTACCGACCAAGATGCTTCTCCTTGAAGGTTTTTTATTACTCATCGTGGTTCAGGAAAACTTTGCTCAATACCTTCCTCCAACACCGACAGTGGAACCTCTTTATCCGAAAGGATTACGAATGTCCATTCCGCGTAAGTAATTTCTTCATTTTATTATTAGATGTTCTCCATTGTTCTTCCTGAGCTGTTTCATTCATCATTGAAGAGGTCATTTACTTAAAACCTTCATTTTCAGCTTAATAAAATAATTGATGCAGCGAACGATGAACGGTGAAGATTGAAATATAAAATTAAATTTTTTCATTTTATAATATTTCTTTGTCTAATATTTTATTTTCTTAATACCTTGACTGGTGTTACTATGTCACTGCTTTTCACCATATCAAATACTAATTATAATTCAAAAATTATTAATTTTGAAGTTAAAATGCTTAAATTAAATATTCCGCGTATGTCAGCGTATTTCACAACTTCATCGATAATATTTCTACTCGATACAAATTAAGCGCGATAAGCTTGTAACTGGTGTTTCCTTATTGCGACAGGAAGATCTTAATGGATTTCTAAAATTAACATAGGCCATATTCATATCTTCGAAATATCAGAATGAATAATTACAAATGAATTTCAAATGAATCTTAAGCCATTAGGTACAACGTATAATTTAAGGATGCGTATAATAAAAACAAGGAGAAAATAAGAAGAAACAATATTAATAATTCCGACTCCCTATAACGTCATCGGCGATCCAAGAATGCAATAAGAAAGAAAAAGAATATCAACAGGTAACAAAATTATGTTTTGCATTTAGATGAGGATGGCATCTCCTTGGTCGCCTATCACGTGAAATTTAACGAAGATTTCAATGGCCTCGAGGCAGGAACTATTGCCAGAGATATCGTAAAAGCTCGCAATGGTCGATGGACGTACGAGGATCGAACCACAAGGTTGAAGCGAGGCCAAAAAATTTACTACTGGATCCATGTAGTTTACGATGGCCTCGGTTACAACTTGGTGGATCAACAGCACGAAGTAAACGGTCGGTTCCGAACAAAGATCGTATCTCTGAATACACGATATTAATGATAATTTAAATACAATTTTTAATTTATTCAGAGTTTTACAATTATGATGGAACGCCTGTAAGTGCATCCACTGGAGGCAACATCGTTTGCGCGAGACCATCTGAGACAAGGACATTCGAAACCGATCGCAATACTCCACAAACGAATCGACAAAATATCTGTCCAGGACAATTATTATTCGAAGATAACTTTGATACGCTTGATTCTAGCCGCTGGAAGACCATCGAACGTTTCTCCCACGCACCAGTAGGTTTCTAATAATCTATCAATTACATAATGGAAAACTGATAGTAAAATTTATATCGTTTCTTCTTAGAACTACGAGTTTGTAGTTTACAAGAACGATAGGAACAACGTAGATGTCTGGGACGGCGTTTTACATATTAGACCCACCCTCACTAATGTCGTGTTTGGAAGAGATTTCATTCGCGAGGGTACTTTGACGCTAGAGAAGTACGAATTTAATCATACGATAACATAAAATAACAGTGTATGATGTATTAAAAATAATTATATTTCTAGATGCACCAGCGAGATTGGTACTGCAAATTGCAAACAAGTAGGACGCGCACCGTTCATTCTACCGCCTGTAATAGCAGGACGTATAAACAGCAAACCATCTTTCCTCTTTTTGTATGGACACGTTCAAATTCGAGCTAAATTACCGCGTGGCGATTGGTTGTATCCTTGTAAGTTTAATAATTAATAACTCGAGTTACATAGGACCCAGTTGCTCGTTACTATATTACATGTTTTTTGCAATCTCCGTTTCAGTGATTACGCTAGAAAGTACCGAGGGGAATACAGATGATTCGAAAGCATATTGTGAGATCATAATAGCTCACTCAGTTGGTAATCCTTCGCTCCAATTGAAAGACGGAAAAGATTTCAGTGGACACCTTCTTCAGGCTGGCGGATATGCGGTCTCAAAGGATAACCAAAATAAGCAGAACAATTGGTTCAATCTTCTTAGTAAAAATTCAAGTTCGTTATGGTCGGACAGTTATCACGTATTCGACTTGATATGGAAACCTGGCCAAGTAGTGGTCAAGGTTGACAATGAACAATATGGCGAGCAACAATTGCCACCTCTGTATGATACACCGGTTTGTATCTACTAACTTACTATTTCAATACTGTACGTAGATTGCATGCGATCATTCGTTATTAACTTTGCATATTATCACAGCTTTATCTGAACTTCGGCATAGCAGTCGGAGGTCACGTTGTCTTCCACAACACTTGCACGAGTGGTCATTACGAGAAGCCTTGGAAGAATCTATCACCGAAGGTACATTTATCAATCAACTTCATTTAGCAAAAGTAGAAGAACCTATTTAATTAAAAATACTTGTCCATTATTATAGGCACTGAATGACTTTTATCAAGCGGAGAGCAACTGGCTGGAGACATGGCATAACAGTGATACTGGTCTCCACATCGACTACGTTAAAGTGTGGGCAATCTAAGAACAGCATAGTCTTCAAGAACAATTATAAATACTCTAAACGCATTTAAATTCTATCACTCGTTCGTTATTTTTCATTCTCTTCGTGATATCGCATGCAATCACAGAGGAGGTGCCGGAGGGACCAACACAGATGGTGGTAGAGGTTGTCGATAAGGTACACTATCGGGATGAAAGCCAGAGCCTAGTAACTCGATCAGCCACTGTCCACGATAACCATATCGGTTTTGATAAGCGTATGCAGCACGAGGTCCATCGTCAGGTCTGAATTCGAATGCCATCTTCTTCCTGGTGTCCGGAGCAGCTACTAGTCTCAAGAAATACTCTGCACTGTTTCGTGGCCATTCCAATAATCTTCCACCGGACCAGAGGTTCCTGAACATGCTTGTCAATCTTGATGGAGATAGGTCGAAGGGAATGGTCCTGGTCACGCGGGTCAAAACTGTACCGTTACACTCGACGACTATGCATAGCTGTATTTAAAATGAATAAAGGATTAAATGATCTTATAATGCACTGTATTTTAATACTGTATATCCGCTTACCGCAAAAACGAATGCTAACGCGTGGCTAACGCGCATTTTCGTTTGATGCTCCAGGTAGGAACAGGTGAAAAGCAATACCCCATTGTTCATCGTGTTCACTCACCTTTATGTCCTCCGGTTGGGTGACGATTTCGTGCACGGAATACATCCTGATCGATTGCAAATTATCATTCATCGAGGAACAACAGGCAGCATAGTTTTTTCAAACGATTCGCGCCTCTCGTTACCCGATCTCGGTCTTTTTTACTTTCACTGACGGAGTTACGACAGAGCAACGATATGCAAGCTGATTTCTTTCTTACATACACGGTATGCGAGTCTTTGGAAGCGACGGACACCAGTTAGTTGATATTCCGCGTTCGTCCAACGTTCATCTACGTTTCGTACCCGTCATCGTTCCACGTGCCGTTTCCAGTTAGAACATGAATTTCCCTCGCAATTTGGTACTTAGAACTATGAACATTGCTTCGCGTTTTCTTGCAAGAATTTCCGAGACTGTAGTCCAGGCATGGTCAACTGTTTTTCACGGCCGGACGAAATATTAAAATTGAAAAATGTTAAGCAAAACAAAATTTTATTATGAAATTTGTTTACGAATAATTGTAAGTAAATCAATACAACAAAATCAAGTCCACAGACGTCTCGGAAAATAAAATCGTTGGAATATCTACGCGCCTACATTAATATACAATACTTTTAAAAACAAAAATAAAATAACAATACAGACGAGTATAAAAGTTTTAATTCTTTAAAACGGAATCTTTTTTAAAAAATATAGAAGTATCGAGAATTCATTCGATTAATTACTAGAAATGCTAATATTGAAAAATTGTTCGTGGGCCACATAAATTCATTACACGGGCCGGATGTTGGCCATGCCTGCTGTAGTCGGTGATATTTATGAGGGATACGGATGCAAAACTCACATTTTCTGGAAAAAATAAAGTACTTCATAAGGAACGAAATGAATAAATAATTGTATTAATGTACATTAACAAAGAAATCAATTATAACAGAACAGATAAATAATTGTACAAAAATAAAGATGAGTTTTGCATGCATATACTCGTACGTACAGTTTCTGAACTTATACAAAATAATTTTGTGTACAATTAAACTTTGCTATTTAATTCTATATCTAAAGTAAATTATAGTCATTGATCCCAGTGCTCTCTTATCGCAGGTATTTCTGACTTGTATCGTCTTGCTGTTTCACCCTGATATACTCCCTGTATCAGCCGCTGAACCCATTAGTGTATTTTCATTCATTCACGACCTGATTCAGTATAACGTAGCGGGGATACCGATCATCCATGAGGCAAGTACAACACTCTGAGAAACAAGAAAGTAAACGTTAAAAATAAACACGTTCGATAAAGTAGCAAAAGAGGTGTGATTACTTGCGATTCACCGGCGATCATTTCACAGCGGACAGAGTGGGATTTTGATCCGGAAGTCGGAAAACAGAGAAGAGTCAAATACGAGCAGGAAAACGGTCGTCATGGAGAGATTGCCATTGAGAAGATCGGCATGGGTATCGGGTACAAAGGACCATGGGGAACGCCTACGTGAATGCTGATCGGTGACAAAATCAATAAACTGTAAAAAGAAAAAATGTATATTAAAAAATTAATCGACTAAGTGGAAGGCTGTATTGCTGGCTAGTATTTGAAAAATAAAAATATGAAAACCAGAGTAGATGCGAATCTTATAATTAGAGGATCACTTTGTTGAAGAACAGGTGATCTTTTAATTATTTTGAATACACATTTTTACTGTCCTACAATTAAATGTCGAGAACTATGCGAAACTACATTCTTTCTTCGACCTTGAGGAATTTCGACGCTATTAGCCGACGAATTTCGAGGAACACACGAGCCATCTTCAAGGTTCCTATGCCCGTCGCGATACCATCAGGAGTGTATTTACGTGCAGAAACGCGCAAAGTACGGTATGTCCCGTTCGACTTTCACTTGATGGCATCGAAGAAAGAACGAGGTGGGGAAGCCGAAGAACGGTATCGGACTTCGGAATAAGCCAGGTAAAAGGTGGAACCAGAAAAACGAAAAGAGCCGATCGTACGGGCCGTAGTATCGTCTTCCATAGTGTTTTTTCAACAAAATATAATTTGAATTTGAACGTTCCAATAAAGAAAATCATAAGAACACTCTAATTCGGTGTTACGTAGAGTGTTAACTTTCAAAACTTTCTTCTGGCAAGCTGATAGCGTTTGAACCCGCCTAACAGCGATGGCACGACACGGTTCTGTAAGTAAATTGAATCAAAGTTGCTGGTAAACAATATATAAAAATAAAATAAAATTGATCGTATGTAGCAAGTTTGTGCGTTGAAGAGGATTTATTTAAAGAGCGGAAGATTCTTTGTAAAGTAAATCTCAAAATACTGTTTGACCCACTTACGGTGCACATGCCACATAAAATGATAATTTTTTCTTTCCTCCGGATTTTTTCATTCATTATATGAAAACGTTTATTGCGTAAAGCACACACGCATTCACGCACACATGAACGAGCTTTTGCATAGTTCTACATAGTTAATTGACCTACTTTCAGTGGACGACCATAATCCTAGCGACAATAATTGTCGCGTTTTTACTTGGATTAATTACGGAAAACGCAGCTACCATAGCACAACCAAAAGCGCCTAATTTTCAATATTTTGAAAGGTAAGGAGTTACACCTAAAAACGAAACGACAATTATTATAAGAAAAATATTAATGGAATTACAATACATAATTTCATGTGTTATATTGGAATACAAATGAGAAAACAATTATTTAAAGGAGTTTCAAAGATCACACAAATATATGTATATACTGTACAAATAATTACAGTAAAAATACACATCAACTATTTATAAAAAGAAAACAATTACAAAGATTTTTTACCTGATCATTTAAAGGCCTAAATACCGTTACCCATACTACGATGAAAATGGCAGAGGAAAGTTGCTCTACGGTTATGGAGGACCAGATCTATACCAATATAAAACTTACAGCGCACTCGAGGGAATCCATTAACAAGAGGACACTTGAATTACACTATACAATGAACCAATCGATGATCTTTCAATGAACTGCAATCGTTACTGCATAGGGTGATAGTTTGTTAAGTGATACTATAATATTATATACATATACACGAATTTGCTTCCGATTGCAAGAAATCTTTTTACTATTTGCAAATACGTAAATCATTTATCTTTCCTTGTTATCGGAAGCATATCGGGTTTCTTAATGAAATTAAGGAACATTACAAGATCGTTTATTTTCCCAATTATAATTACTTGTATTTTTTTTTAAATGCAATCGATTCGTGTACTTAATTACGTCGTAAACATATGTTTCTTTGTCACGGATTATGTTTTGTTATTATTTTATAACATCGCGCGACCCAAAAGGATACAGACAGTAGTAAAAATCAGTGAGAGATGTGTGTTATTTTTTTTTTCAAAAGACAAGTTGCTTTGTTAGTAAAATAGATTAGAAAAGATGTATTAGATAGAACAATATCATGGTTGATTTGATGCGAATATTACTATAAATACGATTGCGAATATTATCGTTAAAATTCCTCCATTCTCTACAAAAAATGTGTGGAATGTGCTTAGAGTAACTAGAATCTATGATGTGTTTCAATATCAATAGTCACCGTGAAGTCGAGAAACGGCTAAATTCTAACTCTAAAGTTCACCTATCATAACACGTCAGAGAGTCTGAAAATTTGTAAATGTTTAAAAACGCAGTCATTGTAAATCTTACGATTAATTAAACGCGTGGAGAGCACGAACGTGTTCGTTCTGCGACAAGTGCACATACAAGTTTTACAAATGTGCAAGCATAGTCGAGTGTTATAGCGAGATACTGTTGTTAAACAAACGAATGACTACTACCCGTACGATGTGTGTTGGGTTATTATTTTATTCCATATGATCCTTGTCCGCCTTATCTTCGGCAGACTGCAACTGTCATACAAAATCCATTTCTGATTTACTGTAATATTGTGTACCTGCTCGTCGCCTGTAAAGTTGTCTTTCTACGAACTTCTTTATCTCGCTAATTATAAATACACTTGACGTGAGCGCAACGAGGAACAGGATGTCTGTTAACAAATAAAAATAAATGTTTCGTTTAAGAATTTGACGAAATTTCTTACATTTAAAACACATACCCTTTGCCCAAAGAGCTTCTGTTTGGAAAACTCGTTGCAATGGCGGAAAGTAGATCACTAACATCTGCCCTATTACTGATAATGTTACAGCTACCAGGAACATTTTATTACTCCACAAACCAATAGTAAATATTGATTTTGTCTAAAATATTACATTTATTTTACGAACAATTGTACCATACTTCTATAACGTTAAAAAATTGTATTTTCTTACCTGTGATCTACAACTCAAAGCATTAAACATATCAAAGAAAACAAAACAGGTAAATGTCATGGTTGTGTCTCGTGCGGTATGTCTTCCATCAGTCGTCATCTAATTAAAAACGAAAAAAAATTGTAAATTTACGGAAATAAATATGTACTCGCAATAAAAAATACTTCGCACCTCTCTATTATAAACCCATAAAGTACCAAGAATGATAATAATAGCTGATAACAATACATTAACAATTAAATGTCGTGTTATCATTGGTTCTTTTGTGTTACGCGGTTTTTGTTTCAAAACGTCCTTATCAACTGGTTCAACTCCAAGACTAAAAATATTCATACGTATTAATATTACATCATAATAATGTTTTACATAATCCTTTCAATTTCTAAAATACCTTTGAGCAGGTGGACCATCCATAATAATGTTGATCCAAAGGATTTGCATTGCATTTAGAGGATTTGGTATTCCCATCAAGGTAGCAAGAGCAATTAGAGAAAGAGCAGCTATACTAGTACTTAATTGAAATCTTACAAAATTTCGTATATTATGAAAAATTCCTTTCCCTTCCTCGATGGCAGCTCTAAAAAATTATATCATTGAAGAGAAAAGGGATACAGAGAGTAAATAGAGATTATTAAACAAGAGAGATATAATATGTACATGATAGTTCCAAAGTCGTCGTCCACTAAAATCATGTCCGCCGCTTCTTTACAAACGTCGGTACCATTTTTACCCATAGCTATGCCAATATCTGCTTTCTTTAAAGCAACTCCATCGTTTACACCATCACCAGTCATGCCTACTATGTTTCCCTCTCTTTGCAATGCTTTTACGATACACAATTTATGCTTAGGCGTGACTCGATAAAATACACTAACGTTACTGATGCACTGTTCTAATTGGTGTTCAGACATCAAGTCGATCTCATCTCCAGAGATTAGTCGCGAATGAAGTACATCTAACCCAATCATACTCGCTAAAAGAAAAAAGCAAACGTGGTGCACTATTCTCGCAAAACTTTTACAAACCATGTAAGAAATTTATAAATACTGTACCTATCGCAGATGCAGTTTCTTTTGCATCACCCGTAACCATTTTAACTTTAACACCGCTATTTATCAGAGTTGTTATCGCTTCACGTACGTGCGGTCGCGGAGGATCGCATATACCCACAAGACCAACATATGCTAGATCTTGTAACGATGTGCCTCGTGCTAATCCAATTACTATAAATATATATAAATAATAAAGTATATATGTTATAATATTCTACAATTAACCGTACTATAAGGTACCTCTTAATCCTTGCTGCCCGATGTCATAAGCTTCGGCTAAAAATTCTTCGTCTTTCTTTTCACTCAGAGCACATACTTCACCATTAACATAATACTTGGTACATAGAGGTAAAATCTTTTCCACAGCACCTTTTATAAAATATACTTCTTGCCTATTCTGTAACATGCAAAATGAGAAAAATAAATTGAACATTAACTTTTGAGAAGGTAACATTAAAAAAAATTACATACATTAAAACGTTATTTTACCTCTCCGTATTTCGGTGCACATTTCACAGCCATCATCTTTTGCTCGGATGAGAATGGATATTCTTGTAATCGCATATACTTATCAGCGACTCCGTACATTCCATATTTCAACGTTAATGCCAGCAATGCACCTTCCGTTGGTTGACCAAGCAGAATATCGCCCTGTATTATAGCGTTATTGCAAACACATGCAACTTCCAGCATGTTACTGATAGCGGTACGGGCAAGGTCGAAATTGTCGCATTTTCGAATTCGTACTTCACCCTTATCGTTGTAACCAGCACCAGTAATATCAGCTATATATCCGTCAGACGTTACCAGGATAGTCGCGGTCATCTCATTCTTCGTAATAGTGCCAGTTTTATCAGAACATATTACATTCACGCAACCTACGCATTAATAACATATTTATACATCTGGATCAGATAAATGTTATGCAAGTATGTCCATGTGTTCGCTTACCAAGCGTTTCAACTGTTGGTAATTTCTTCACAATGACTTTTCTTTTAGCCATTCTCATAACACCCAATGCTAATGTTACAGTTACAACAATAGGTAAACCTTCTGGTATAGCTGCTACTGCCAAACTTACACCGATGGTAAACATTTCAAGTATCGCTTTCCCTTGGATCCAGCCAAGAAGCATAATAATCCCGATAATACAAAATGAATATAAGGATAACTGAGTACCCAAAATATCCATACTTCTTTGAAGTGGCGTCTTGGGAGCTTCTTCAGCTTGCATCATTGAGAAAACTTCACCAAATTCACTCTTCTCTCCGGTATTCACTACTACACCCTACAAAATGCTTTCTTTTAGTATTCGTAAATTACGGATACGTTTTATATTTTCAAAAATTTAACTAACTTTTCCATTTCCGCAACGCACTAATGTACCCATAAATGCAATATTTCGTTTTGTTGTCAATCCATTAGTTTTAAGTAATGGGGCTGTTGATTTCTGTGCTGGTTCTGTTTCTCCAGTAAAACTGCTCTCATCAATTGCTAAATCTATTGCTTCAAATATCCTGATATCTGCAGGAACTCTATCTCCAATATTTAAATAAACTATATCGCCAGGAACTAAATTGCGAGCGAGAAATGTTTCTAAACGACCCTCTCGTAAGCTGTAAACAAAAACATTAAAAAATCATAGCATTATAAATTTTAATTTTTGGACATTCCCGTTTGTTGTAACAATAAATGGGTCTAACTTTTATCCTCAACCTATATCTTTGGTAAGTGAATGTTATGGAAAGTAAGTTTCATCTTACTGATCTACTGATTGGAATTGGATACTATATCTTCTTTTCTAACAAGGCAAATGAATGCTCCATATAAAGGATTAATATCTTCCAAGGACCATAATTCTAAAGGAAATGTTAATTCATAAAACATCTGATTAATAATAAACTTAAACTTATATTTACCAGTGACAAGCTGGTGGCACCAATTTATTTAATTCTTCTAAAGATTTTTCAGAGCGGTACTCCTGTACAAATGCAACTGTTACCACTATTATGATAGCCTGAAAGAAACATATTTCATCAAGCGAATCTGTTCATACATAATTGTTGAATCTAAACATGGCATTAACACCTACCACTGTAATACTGACAGCATCATCAAATTGTTTCATACAAACACTAACAAATGCAGAACCAAGTAATAGTAGAATTAAGGGATTCTTAAACTGAAAAAAGAAGAAGAATTATGAATATATATAACAATTATTATAATTGTGTAATGGATAGAACTATACCAAATATACCTGTTCAAGATATTTCTTCCATGTTGGTTCTTCTTCTTTAACACAAAATTCATTATATCCTACTAATTGTCTTCGATGATCAGCTTCCTGCCACCAAAGTCCTGTTCTAACATCAACATGTAGCCTTGCTGCTACTTCTTCAGCACCAAGGCTGGCTGATTCGGCTGTTGTTAACCACATCTCTGGTGTTGGAGTTTTATCCTTCAATAATAAGAATTATTTATTTCAGAGTATTTTTTTTAAATTGTTTAATAATAATCATTATACATACATAAGGATTACATTTTAATTTGTATACATTACAAGTTCCTATTCATTTTCATTTAAAAACAAAAATTATTAACGCAATAATTTATTATAAATTTTTCATATTTTTATAACATATGTACATACGAAAATTGTTAATATTTAATTTTTCGTTTATTTATAATAAATTAAATATAAATTTGTATAATATCCTGGAAGTAAATCTATCAAGACATCCATTGTGCCAAATTAATCATCAATTTGTTCACATTTTGCAAAACAGGACAGTAATTAACTCCAAACTTAATGATTAGCTTCATAACATATGCATCGGATTTTCTGGTGACGTTACAACGTGTCAATATTACAAGAATGAATCAATGTTTATTAAGATAAAATATTTGTATAGCAAATATGAAAAAGATTTAGTATATCTTATGATTAACAATTATGTTAAGTGTATCTTGTAATTAACATGAAGATGTTAATAGGTATAAGTGCATCATAAATTCTAACCTTCAAGAAATTCACAGAACACCAATATTGAAATGCATATATAAATTTTGAATGAATTTTTTTAATCTCTAAAACATGTTGTTACGATATTATACATTTATGTGGATTAAAAGAAATCGGAAATGTGGTTGATACCCGTCTCATTACGTACTGAGTATCCAATAAACACGTAAGAAGTATTTATCATTCAAAGTCTTTACTCAGGTGTTTTATTTATGATACAAATATAAATATAACGTGATTAAGTGATAACTTACTGTCGGATATTATATACGATTTTAATTTTATGTTATTACATTTGGAACCATTGAAGTAAAGACTGGAACAATGTTCCAGTACTTTCGACTATACGAACTTATTTCTGGATCGTGAAACAAGGATTGATTTTACCCGAGACTTAACATTTGGATTTATGATAAAACCTATTATCAGATCATAGATGTAAATCTAAAATCGTTTTTCCTAAAATGTATAAGCTCGCATTAAATCTATCATATCAAATTATCCACGTTTACCGCTTACGCTTCGAAGTAGCCGCGCGCTACCTAAGTCTACCTCTTATCAGTAGTTAATTATTAATTCCCGGAAGTAAATTAATGGTCAATTATTAGTAACGTGTTTGATAATCGTGTCTAATATGTACTGACAGAATTTATGGGGTGTTTTAAATTCTTTTTTCAGCAATTATGAAAGTCATAGATTAGTAATACAAGGAATAAGATTTATTTAACGTATAAAATCTACAGGTAACAATGGAGAGCCTGGCAGGTGCTGTTGGCAGGGTAAGTATTCGATCGATACCGAAACATTTGAAGACACTACAGTTGCAAAATGAACCTTTCAAACATGTTCCAGATTTCAATTTACATATTTTGCGTAAACTATACATTTAATCTAATCTATTAATTTAATGTAAGCATACATTTAATAGGAATGTAATTTTATTACCCTAAAAAGTAAAAAAATGAAGGGACGCGATAATAACAACTTTCTGGTTAGTAGCGTAACGTTTAAAATTATTTTTACCTCTTTTAACGTTGCATCTTCGCTACATTCTTTGTTGGCGGCGTTGTCGAGTTCATTTTCGTCGAAAAGTTGTTCGTATTTTTTATTCGCCGTGTCTTTCATTTCTTCGAAGTGACGTCGTTCTCTTCTCTATCACTTTCCTGTTAACCGACAACTAATGCCACAACACAATATTTATTTTCTTTATTTTAAAATCAAATTACCACGACGACATTTTTGCTTAATTATTAGATACTGAAATACAGAGCTCATGGTTCAAATGAAATCCTACTAAACCACGACAATACTACATTCTATTGAGTTTAGCTACGTGTAACTCTGTTGTGTGTGTGTGTTGGTTAAGTGTACTGCTAATTTCCAGTCACGCGAAGGTCGAATGAAAAGTTTTTTAATGATCCTTGACAATCAAGCATTTCCGAATAAAATATAAAAGAATGGTTCTCTATGTTTCACTGGAGTATTTTAGTTGGCACGTTTGCAAGATAAATTCAAAGATTTCAACATTTCGTTGTGGAACGATTTAAGGCAGTCTCAACAGTATTACATTGATTCCTTTGAATCACATTACAGTAGTAACAGTTGCGATAACTATAAATATTTTAAAATAAGTAATCAATATTGAATGAAAATTATTTGATTATTTAATAAACCAATAATAAGATTCAAACAAATCACTCGCTTATGTAATTTATATATACAATTCTTATCGATTCGAGGTAAATCTTTCGTAAGCTTTATTATAATATAATCAAGTTGTTTGGTTCAGTGTGTAGTGTGCGCGTACAATTCGTAATCAAACAGGCATGTAGACTGAGTTCACCAGAGTCCATAACTGCGACGCGCAGGTTGGAAGATGGTGGTGGAACTTAGCGAGCCTCGAACTCCCACTCCGCTAGTCACTTAAACCGCGAGTTTAATATACAGGGTGAAACAATAGCACGGTTGAATAGGAAGAATACAGAATGCTACACGTGAGTAAAAAACCGTGCTACCCGTTATACGCTTCAAATAATGCACCTTCGCGTAGATGTCATAGACAAATGGTAGAGGCACCGCGTGGATGCGCCTCAGCGACGCTGTGCGCATGCGTATGGGAGTGAGAGTATCGCCAATCAGGGCGAAGATGCGCACGAAGATGCGCAAACTGGTCTTTTCGGAGTTATGGACTCTGGTGAACTGCAATGTATACTACATACTACACGGCACTCGTAACAAATCAATAGCGACGTTTTGTCAGTAAATGTATACGAACTCATAGAAATTTTTACGTATAAAAAAATAACTGTATATAAATATTCTCCTACCCTTAAGGATTGTGTAACCTTGCTACTATCCGAGGCGGGTTGAAGGATTGTACTCTGATGTGCTACCACGTAAAACACGCGATAAATTATTCACTGAGCGGAATTTGTGTATGGTTTAATGGGGGTTGAAACTGCGTTTCGAAGGAGTTAAGTAACTTTATCTTATACAAAATATGGATATACTTGTACAAAAACGTTAGAAACACGATGTACGATTCATGTATAATCAGTATAACTGACAAGGTAGAACGAAGTAGCGAACAACGCCGCTTGAACTGTACTGGTTGTACTGATCTGGGGATGCGACTTATATATAGAAGAGATTTGCACGTGTGTTATACATGTGTGTATGCGTATATGCCGATTTATTTGTGTGAGAAGTAGAGCAGAGTGTGTCGATTCAGCGTACGACGACCTTAAAACTACTGCATTTCCAAATTCGCGCATAACTTGTCTTCTTGATAATTTAGAATGTATTATATTTAAGATTTTAAATTGAAATGTTCGATATTAAAGATCAAACCATTGCACTACTTTAGCTTTTATTAACAATTTAAAAATATATTAATTGATATTGATAGAGAAATGTATTAAGATAATGTTATGTTACCTCTTACTAAATTCTTAGATTTATATTGTTGTACAATTTCATTAATTATTTTTTATATCAAAATAAAAGGAAATTAAATAAGAAAATTTGAATTTTACATCCCGATCGCGATAATTTTTTAATTGTTGGAAGCAACACAGTGGCGCTGTGTGCATTTGTTTGGATCGATTGGATCAATTTATATGAGCGGTAATTTGTATACATTTTCAAGTGCTGTGCACTGGTAACCTCAAATGGAAAAACTGAAACCGGTAAAAAATGTCTCGAAAGGTGTTAAAATTATTTGCCCTTCGCCGGAAGAACTTAGCGTGATAACAAATAATATTAAATGCGAAAAATGTGGACTCGTATTTAAAAATGAGCCACGATATCGTTTACACGATCTTAAAGTTCATCAACGTAAGAATTTAGACAAAACAATAAAAGAAAATGTTCAGTATCATTGTCCTGTGGAGTCTTGTATTTATGCTCCAAAAGCCGAAAGGCATTTTAATAGTATGAAGTATCTTAAACAGGTTAGTTCTATGTCATAAGAGTGCATTAAAAAATTTATTTCTGACAAAATTTAATATTCATATATATATTTAGCATTATCTTAAAGTACATGCCAAAAAGACACATGCATGTAATCTTTGTGATAAAAGTTTTTCTACTGAAGCAGCTAAAGAAGGTCATATGAGAGTATGTGGAATTGAATTTACATGTTCATGTTCAAAAACTTACACTTCTTATGAGGCATTACTTACACATGCAAAAAGATCATTACATACTGTAAATAATAAGTATAAAAATTCTTTGAGGTAAGACAAGTATCTGAATGTTTTAAAATTACATTTGATTGTTAATTATTATTGGTTTAAATTATAATTTGAATATCTTTTCAGACGTGCAAGTTCAAAAACCATAAGATTGATTTTACCAACTAGTCAAACAGAAATAAATAAATTAATTACAATTTTACCAATAAATCAGAATGAGAATAAAATATCTAATCACAGTAATGGTACCACCCAGAAACTTACTTCAGATATAGGTGTACAAACAGATGAGCATAGAAGGAATAAAAGAATATTAAGTCCATCAAAACACACTAATAATAGTCACTGTCATAATGAAAAACGTGAAATATCTAAACAGACTCAAACAAACATATCTCAAAAGATTAGACAAAATGTAATGTCTATGGAAACACAGACTACAGCAGCTCCACAGACATTTAAAAATACATTAAGAATACAAAAACATAGGAAAAATTCTGTATCACAAAATTCTGATTATACATTGTTGAAGGAAGACCTTAATCTTGGCAATTTTACACCTTCAAATTTATTTCCTAGCAGCCCACTACCGCTTCGTCATGATGATGGATTACAAGACTTTTGGGAAGATAAAAATACATCGGGTACTCAGACAATACCGGAAAAAGATATGTTTGAAGTTCTCAATGATAATGTTACTCAAACAGAATTCGAAACATTTTATGACCATAGTACAAATCCACTGATACAATGCGTTCCAAAAAGTACAGTTGCACTGATGACTTTACCTTATGTTGAGGAAACATCCTCAGTTGGTGGAGGATATTCTTTTGTGTCCTCAAATAGCATATCACGGTCAGATCCCATGCTTACAGACAAAACTTTTGATGACAGATTTAGTAGTATAGAGACTCAGACTGAACAAGCTTATTCACAATCGTTCTTTGATTCGGATACCTTAACTAGATCATTTACATTAAGTTCTACCATTGAAACACAAACCACAAACAATCTTGACAACATGGAACTACTGTACAGTAATACATGCACTCAAACTTGTAATGAAATACTACCATCTGATTTGGGATTATCAAATATTCAAACACAAACAGCGTGGACTCAGCTCGAGGATACCACTGTATCCACCGAAACGCAAACAAAATCACTGATATGCGAAACGGGTTGTAATATACCGATAAGTGCTTGTCGCTCCTGGTTAAGTACCCAAATTAGTCATACTGAAACACAAACTGATTTACTGAGTATTTTTGAAGGTCTTCAGTAATAAAATATTTAATTCGTTAAAAAAAAAAATACCTTTAAATATAAAGTCAAAATAACTTGCATTTAATAGATTTAAGATTAATTTCTCTCTACTGTTATTTAATACTTTGATATTTTTTATATTTTATTACGAACTAATTACTTTTAAGTTCCTGTATATGTGCAATTTGTTAAGTAAGTAATGTATGCATTGATTGAAAATTGCATTTTCTTAAAGATTATATTAAGGTTTAAATATTGTTTATGTGTATTAATAGAATAAAAAAATACACGTTATAGATAGTATGGTTCTATTATACGTAACTTATTACCAAATCCATTAATTATAAACCAGCACAATGAAACATGTTACTTACTTTGAATTTATATTTTAAAAAGGAAATAATACTAAAAGTTTTCGATAAACTTTAGTAAGAGTATCTTTTAACTTAAAAATAATTTTTTCAAATGATTTCGTTCCTAATATAAATTAATAGAGTTAAAGGTTTTATAAACATAGATTTTTGTGTAACAAAACTAAATGTAGATACGAAATATAATATCACTATTATGGTGTATATTGAAAACCATTCTTCATTGAAGGTATCCACAAACTTGAAAATGTTTTCACAATGTATATTATGAAGATATAAAATACTTTATTATAGTATTAGAATATGGGTTTTAGAAATTTTCAATGCAATTTATGGTTTAATACATGTAAATAGCCGTGTAACCTTTAAATTTAAATATTTGAAGTCGTTCGTGTCTCACATACGAAGGCAACTTTTTAAGAACTTGATCTTTTGTATACATGTATTGTTACTACACTATTTAGAAAAACACATCTGTTCCTCGATTTGTATAATTACAACCTTGTTTAAGAGGACTATGTATCCCCTTAAATAGAAAAATACATAGAAGATCTGGTCTGCTTCAAATCTAATTGTTTAGCTGAAAGTTTAAACATTTACAAAGAAATGAAATATGTAATCTGAAACTGTACACGTAACATTGTCATTATAACTATTAAAATATTGTTTGTTAACAACTGTGTTGGAATCATAACTTAAATCCCACCCAGTGCTTTACTTTATGGCTTTATAGCAAACGATTTCTCGAGTGTAAATATAGGAGTTAAAATCCTTAGTTCTTTTTTTGTTTGGAACCAGTTTAGGCTACTATCTTACTCACACTTGTTACCGGAAGTTAAAATTATATTCAGAATGGTTTATAGATTTAATCATCTCTAAAATGTGCTTAACATAAACGCGCGAGTTCCAGGAACTTATTAGCACAGGCTGGGAGATACACCATGGAAATTAAATAAGGATAATATACAGAAAGAAGGATACATAAAAATGTATTAAAGTGCAGGACCAGCAGCATTATCTTCGTCAAAATCCGGTAAAAAATCTTTGGTCCGGTCTTCTATCCTATCTACATTCTCAAGTGCAGAAGCTAGTACTCTTAAATTGTCCACTCCGGACATCAATTGCCTGCAAGAATATCGTTACATCATTTAATTTTTTAATACTTAAACTTAATTGATATGTACGTATTTACCTTAATGATACTTCTGCTGATGAAGCAGCACTTCTCAAGTCACTAGCTAGTCTTTTTACTGTTCGATCAACATTTGAAGAACCACATTCGTTTCTATTTCCCGCTGTAAGTCCAGCTTTTAATTCCGTATTTTCTAATCGTAGCAATGATAGTTCTGTCTAAATTAAGATCATCTTTTTTTAGCATTTACCAATTAAGTATATCGTAAAATATTTAGAAAGATAAAATATACACCGACCGTTAACGACTTGATTTCCTTTTTTAATGATGAAACAGTACTTTCAGCATTCACCGCTCTTCTCTATAGAACGAAATTAAAATTATGAAGAATAATCGAATATATGAGACGCAAATACATTTTTGTACATACTGTACTACGTTTCAAATTATCCTCCACTTGTTCCATGGCTTTCTCAAGATGAACTGTTTCCTCATGTTCCACTGTTCTCCTAGATGTCAATTCCGATTCTAATAATTGGATTCTATAATAAACATAATACACCTGAATTAGGGATACACTCCAATGTATGATCAGTATTCCTACAATTACCTTTCTGATTTTTCACTGATTTGTTTTTGAGCTAGTTCTAACTCATAACGTAATCTTTCATTTTCTAATAGTAACTGGAAAATATATACATTATAGTGATGAAAACAATGGAAATGTTGAAAATTTAAACTTGCAAAATTTTTTAAATGTTCTTCATAGCTTGGTAAAGTCAATACTTTAATCATTATTTACCCTCCTTTCTGTTGGCTCTACACTATTTGGAATAGATCCAGACTCTCCTGACAATGTTGTCCTATTATGAATAGGGCCATCATTTAAAAAATCTGGTAAAGATTTTGGAATATTTGCTTCATTTGTTCCAGAACAGTCTCTCGAAGTAATATTTGAACCAGGATGAGACTCAGATACAGGTATAGGTAAATCTAATGGAAACCCTAAATGATGATCAAGTATAAGTATAAAATTGATTGTAGTTGAAATAATGTAATAAGACATTCTACAACTACCTGACGATTCTGGATGTTCAATAGAGTCTACACTAGATTTAACAAAGGCAGGTAAATTTAAATGAGCAGAACTTATATTTGGTACTGATTGATTCCTATTAGATAACCCTTTATCTATGCTTCCAGTTAAATCAAATGGAAGGTCACATGAAGCACTGGACTCACTTTTCTTTGACTCATTTCTAAGTCTATTTTGCCTTTGCTCTACGCTGTTTAATGCAAAATCAGGAAGATTATCAACATCTGAAATAGTCTGTTGCTTTTGTTCCTGATTCAAATAATATTGTTCTATGACCAAATGATCTTGTACAAAATCGGGTAATTCAGTTGGATTACGAGGATAAACTGTAGAATCTTTTTCTAAATTAAATGGACTTGGTGTTGGAGAAGAATAAATCTTTGGACGTGCCCCAACATTGTGATAATTCGATCGTGAACCATTTTTTAAAAAATGTTTAAAACTAAAAGGATTCTCTTCGCTTCGTGATGCGTCTTGTCCTACGAGAAATAAAAAATAAGATATACGAAATCGATTGATAGCTGAATTTTAATGACAAGTAATAGGTTATTTCTAACCTGCTTGAGATCCCCTCTCGGTACGATTTTTAACAAATTGCTCTTTTGACATGTTTCTACAACCTCGACATCCTGTCGTTATCTCTTCTTCGGAAGATGAAGATGACGGAAACATGACTTCTCCGACATGACGCCTTACGTTTCTTGATACAGGTCGAGACAATTCATTACTTTTTTTACGATTCGCCATCATCTATGCAGAAGATCAACCTTACCGACAACCATATCATTTGTGTTGCAGTCAAAACTAGGTACAGTGTGCCATAGATAAGTTTAAAGGTCTGAGAAAAACCATGGCGCCGAATCAACGTCAACGTCAGCTTTTTATTTCAAAGAAAGAATTAAAAAAGTTAAATGGCAGAAGATTTTCAAAGTAAAGATAATATCTTTTCTTTTCTTTGATAGATAGTAACCGGGAAAAAGTCGTTTTCAAATCATGTTCAATGAACATAAACATATTGTATATCGGTTAACCTTCTGAAACAAGTTGCATTAATAAGAAACTTTATGAAACCTTAAGTGATTTTGTTTCTTAACTTAATGTATAACTAGTAGATTCTGTTTTGAATAATCCAAAGTAATAATTAGAAAACAAACATGAAATGAGGTAGTAAGTATAAATCAAAAAGAAAATTAAGCTTATATGTTTCAGACCAGAAGAATCCTCTGGTACTGGTCTTATTTATCCTGGTGTGGATACAGCATTTAAATTACTTTTATCAGCTAGATTTTGTTCAGCTATATGGAGTCACATAACAGATTGTGATGAGACTTATAATTATTGGGAACCTGTAAGGAATAATTCTTAGTTTCCTATGATTTTTAATGATTTATATAAGTTTATATGTTTGTACTATATTGTTTTGTTTTAATAAATGAGAATTTTATTTTCTAAGAATACTGCATTTTATCATTACATTTTAGAGTCATTATTTACTTTATGGTACTGGCCAACAAACATGGGAATACAGTCCACAATATGCATTAAGATCATATACATATTTGTTAATTCATATGGTACCAGCAAAACTCTATCATTATTTGTTAGAGCCTAATCCTGTTCTAGTCTTCTATTTTGTAAGGTGCTTATTATCTGTGGGTTGTGCATTATCTGAAGTATACTTTTATAAGTATGTATCTTCAATAGTCTTATATAGACAGCATGTGTTAATAATAAAGAACTGATCAAATTTTCTTTTTTAGAAATGTATGCAGAGAATTTGGAATTCATATAGGAAGATTAACATTAGTATTCCTTATACTAAGTTCTGGCATGTATATTGCTAGTGCTGCATTTTTGCCATCTTCTTTTTCAATGTATGTTTATAAAATATTCATATGAATAATGAAAATAATGGTTATTTATAATGTGTCTTCTGTATAGGTATTTAAGTACTGTAGCTACAGCAGCTTGGTATGCCCGTCAGTATGAATTAGCCATTTTTGCTACTGCTATATCTGCCTTGTTAGGATGGCCATTTGCTGCACTACTTGGGTATCATTTATATCTATAATTACAATTATTTCAAAAATTCAAATTTAATAATAATGTGAACTTTAATGTATTTACAGAATACCAATTGCAGTAGAAATGTTAGTACAGAAACAAGAATGGGGTCAATTCATAAAGTGGGTAATCATATCTGGTGTAGTAGTTTTAGTACCAGTAGTATGGATTGATTCAATGTATTATGGCAAACTAGTAATAGCACCATTAAATATTATAACATACAATGTGTTTACTAATCATGGACCAAATATTTATGGAACTGAACCGTTTAGTTACTATATCTATAATGGATTTCTGAACTTTAATTTTATTTTCCTGGGTGCACTTTGGGCTCCAATTGGATTGGTAATATTCTATAAATTTACAAGTTTTAAAAGATCGAAATTGTTAGCACTTTAATAAATTTTATATGTAGTTTTTAGTATGGTTAATTGTACCAGCACGACCGAGAGACCGTCTTTGTTTGTCTTATTGGTACTCTTTGGCACCATTATATCTTTGGTTTCTAGTATTCTTTTTCCAGCCTCATAAGGTGAATAAAATAAAAATTATTTACAACGTTAAGAATAAATTAAAATATGTACGTATATATCTAAATATTTATATTACAGGAAGAACGATTTCTATTTCCGGTTTATCCAATGATTTGCTTAGCTGGGGCCATAGCTGTGGATGTTATTCAAAAATTGTATTTCTTTATCAGAACAAAACTTAGTCCCTTACATATTGCTTATCATTATTTACAATATACTGCTCATATTACATTTTTTGCTATCTTAATATGTGGTCTCCTTGGTATATCAAGATCATTGGCACTATATAAAGGTATGAAGTTTTATGTGTTCTTATTTTTACATTAATTGATTAAACATTTGAAATCAGGTTATTATGCACCAATGGAAGTAATGATTGATGCTAATAAATTTGGATTAGAGGGAGAAATACCTAAAGATATGTACATAAATTTCTGTGTTGGAAAGGAATGGCACAGATTTCCAGGTAGCTTCTTCTTCCCATCAAATAAGTAAGTTTTATTTCATCTTGGAACTTACATTTTACCTTTCTTTAAACATAACACAACGATATTATTTTTAGTTGGAAACTTCAATTTTTAAAATCGGAATTCAAGGGCCAGTTACCACAACCTTTCTTAGATCATGAAAATGCAACTAGTGTAATACAACCTTATTTCAATGATATGAACAGAGAGGAACCAACGCGCTATGTAAGTTACAGTTCAAAGTCTATTGTACTTGGTACTGCATACCACACAGAATGATTGAAATATGTTAATATTAAAATTCTTTATCGTTTCAGTTTAACGTGAATAAATGCCATTTTGTGTTAGATTTGGACATTGATACTGAAACAGAATTAGAACCAAATTATTCTCGATTAACCGATAATTTTACAGTAATCAAATCAGCCAAATTTTTAAATTCCGCAAAGTGAGTGTACTGCCCTTATAGAAATAATATATTGTATTACTTGTTTTGTATTTACTATTTATATTTCAGGTCTCATCAATTTTTTAGAGCATTCTATGTACCCTTTGTGTCACATAAATTTTGTACATACGGCTCGTATAATTTATTACAAAATATTAAACTCAAAACGATCCCTCTTTTATCAAAAGACAAACATACAAAATCTTAAATTGAAAGTACAGAACTTTTTATTTTAATGAACAGGGTTTTTGTCAGGGAAGTTTTTCAACTACCTTTCTGTACTTGATAATAAAAATGTAAGTGATGGTAAAAAGTAGTAATTAAAAAACACGATGACATTAAAGTAGTTATGTTTTCTTAATATATCACTGGAATCAAGTACAAGATTACAAATAATGTTCAGTTTCTTTAAATAAGAAATATTTAGTAGAAGCTTCTGTATATGATTAAATGATACTTATTTTAACATTAACAAATTTTTGTGTATATATATGTGTGGCTATAAATAGAATATGAAAATGTGAATATAATTTTAATTGTAAATGTACTATAAATTGTTGTAATATATAGTTTAGTTCACTTTTTTATTAAGTATTTTTGTAAATCTGTATTTAATTGTCACGATATATTATAATTAAATAAAGCAATACATGATGTTTTATACTTTTATATAGTTATATATATTATTCTCCTGTCATCAAGTAAATAGTTACAACTACTTGATTATTTATCAAGCAAATCATTTTGACAAGTGATAACATATGAACACCCTTTATCGGGTGTTAATTAAATTTGCTTATCTAGGCATGATTAAGCATTCTCCACCGGCCTGGATTAAAATTAAATTTTTAGCGCCACGTGTACGAAACGGCGCTTTTATCAGTTGAATGCAATGACTATAAATCTATAAAGATTGCACATGCCTTTAATCACGAGCGATCTTAAATTTGTGCCACGAGAACGAATGCCATCTGTTCTATCTTATCGTCAGTATAATTTTCAATTTTACTTATTTCTTAACTGAAACTTGTTGTTTTTATAATTTTTACGTGTGAATATCCTGCAAATTTGTATTAATAATTCATCTACGGTATTGAGAAGTAATTATTGTGTTTTAATATAAATTTGATTTTTATAATTTATTAAAGATCAAACAGTTATTAAATGTTATACATACTGTAATAAAAGTTACAACTTCTACAGTTTATTCAGCGACGTTTAAGGTTTAAAAAAGTTATCAAGACTAAGAAACTGAATACAGGATTTTTAAACAATAGTATCAAAGGGAATCAAAATTGTCATCTATGCATGCCCCTGTGGAATGTGGTAAAATAGACACAAATGTCGTACTGGTTGCGCGCTGTACAGGCGCACCCAACTTCAACTAGGGGTCCCTGAAACCCCGAAAATTGAAACCCCTCGATAACAACGGTATGTCCCGTTCTTTATGTCTGCTGAATGTTAATAGCCATTTTTAAATTAACACGATAAGCTTTGAATAAACAAGCGTATAATTTATGCGCGTACATGCGCGTCTTACAGACGGGAGAATCTTTTTTGGCGTTCGTATGCGACATTCAGGAAAGAATGTTTAAATAATGATAAAATTATCTATTACCGTAATGTAGTTCTTATACAGTTTACTACCTGAAAAAGTATCAACACGATCAGAAGAGGTATAACGCCGTAAAATAGTTAATGTAAAATGGAAACGGCGGAAATCGAGGACGAACGAACTCATATACGTCCCATAAAATTACCAGCAGCTGTCGAAGTGTTTGCAAATTTGAAAAATGCTCAAAAATTCGCCATTGACATTGGTATGTATTCCATTTCAAATTACCTCGATATGTTAAACAATATTTTGGTTGGCATATACATCTGATTGCTATAAAATTACTGTTTTAAATAGTTTTTAAACACTATGTTTTTTTTATGTTTGATAAAAATTAAAATAATGGAATTAATTACAGGCTTATCATTGACAAAAATAGCTTACTATTCAACAGTTAGTTATCGCAAAGCATTGTATGAAGATACAGGATTGGGAAACAGTGGAGAACGTGCATACAAAGTGCATGAAGGGAATAGGCTTCACTTTGTTAAATTTGAAACAAGATACATTGAAAATTGTTTGGATTTTGTAAAAGAGAATTTAGTAAATGTTGAAAGATTTCAAGGTAAAAGTATTAAAGTAACTGGTGGAGGGGCATACAAGTATACTCCTTTGTTACAAGAAAAATTAGGCTTAACGTAAGTGCTTTAAAATATAAGACTTCATTTTCATAATTTAGTGTTAAAGGTCTTAATATGAAAATGAAAATATTTCAGGGTTGATAAAGAAGATGAAATGACATGTTTAATAAAAGGTTGCAATTTTTTACTTAAGAATATCTCATGTGAAGCATTTGAGTTTGAAAGACATGGCAATCCTGAATATAAATTTCAAAAGGCTGGTCTTAATATATTTCCATATATGTTAGTAAATATTGGTAGTGGAGTCAGTATTCTTAAAGTAAGTACCATGTATGGTGATCAAATAGTTTTGAAGAATTTGTTCCAAAAACCTGTATAACATTTTCAGGTAGAGTCTGATCAAGTATTTGAAAGGGTTGGTGGGACAGCTACAGGGGGAGGAACATTTTGGGGATTAGGTTCTTTGCTGACAAAAAGGAAGGTATTAATATCAATCCTTTAAATTTTTCAACAACATTATCTTATTGAATTAATGTTCAGCATTATGAAGATTAATGCATACATTATAAAAATGTCTTTAACAATTCCCTTGCTAGGGCTTTGATGAATTACTGCAACTTGCAGAAAGAGGAGATCATCGAAATGTCGATATGTTAGTAAAAGATATTTATGGAGGCGACTATTCCTCTCAAGGATTACCTGGAGACCTTATTGCAGCCTCTTTTGGCAAAGTTGTGTCTTATAAAGGTAAAGAAACAAGCAATTAGTTGGAAGATTAAACGAAATTAATTGGTTAAATATATTATAGGTCAACCTAAATTTTCGGAAGCCGATCTCGCGAGAAGTCTTTTACTTACGATAAGTAATGATATCGGACAAATAGCTAGTTTGTATGCAACTGTACATAAAATGGATAAAGTTTATTTCGGTGGTTACTTTCTACGTAATCATCCATTATCAATGCATACCATTTCATATTCCATCAAATATTGGTCAAATGTTAGTTTTGAAATTTCTTTCTTTCGAAGGAATTTAAGATATTTTAAAAACGTAACTTATAATGTATATCATCTAGGGTAAAGTAAAGCCCCTATTTCTTCGTCACGAGGGTTACCTTGGTGCAATTGGAGCATTTTTGTATGGTGCTGAACAATCTAATGAACATAGTTGGTTAGAAAATTATGCAGGGTCGTCAGGTTTTAAAGATTCGATATCTACCAATCTCGGAATTAAAGTGGATCAGTTGGAAATTGACCAAGCAGAAAATGCTGTTACATTTTGTCCACTTTTAAAAGATCCCTCATCTTATAACCCTGATACAACAGACCTTGCTCAAGATAAGGAAGCTAGGTAAGTCATAGATAAAAATATTTTAGTAAATAGTACATTGATCTGAGTATTAAATATTGATATCTCTAGAGATTACTGGCTTCAGTGTTTTGAAGAATCAGTAGATAAATTTGTGGCAAGAGCTATTCATAGTCAGCCACATAGTCCAACTGCAAAAGATAGAGCAACAAAGTTGAAAGAGAAATATGTTAATAGACTGCATTACCTACATCTCCAACCATTGTAAGCTCTGATCACTAATAAAAATGTAATATTTTATAAGAATATATAGCTACCCTACATTTTACGATATAATCTTAATTAATATCGTATTACAGCGCTTATGGAACACTCACTGTAAGAGTATTACTAGATACTATTGAACATTGTATGAAGGAATTTGACTTTCCTGACCCTTATTTGCATGTAAGTTAGTTCTACAGCTCAAGGTTATTTTTTGTATTGCAAACATACACATGTAAATAATTTGATTCTCTAATATGTAGCAAAAAAAGCAAGAGAACGAGGAAGCGTTAAAACATTTGAAAAATCGCATAATAGCTATTGATTACTTGGAAGGAGCGGACAAAATCAAAGCTTTGATACTTGGAGTTCTAAGCGGTAATATGTTTGACTGGGGTGCTAACGCGGTCGCGACATTGATGGAAACCACCGACTTCGGTTTTGCTGAAGCTCAAGCAAAAATACCGGGTACTGCAATGTCTCAGAATCCTTGTTTATAACTAATATATTGCAAGAAAAAGTATCATCAAGATTCATATGTTACTTTTCTTAAACTTAGGTAGACCTTGGCTACAAGATGATTTGGACGATTGGATAGATAGATTAGAAACAGGACCACCCCATAAATGTGCCGCTATTTTTGTTGACAATAGCGGGGTTGACATAGTATTGGGAATTTTACCATTCGCAAGAGATTTGCTGTTACGAGGGACAAAGGTTAGCGAGAATATATTTGTGGTCTAAAGGTCGTTTGATAACTTAATTAAAATCAATTAAGTATTATTCTAGGTTATTCTGTGTGCTAATTCTATGCCAGCCTTGAACGATGTGACGTATCCAGAATTGGTTGTAACATTACGGGACGCAGCAAAAATATGTAAAGTTATTAGGCAGGCTCTAAAAGAAAACCGATTGATCGCTATGGAAACAGCTCAGGCTGGTCCTTGTTTGGACTTAAGGTAATTGTACTAAACGCGCAGACAATTGTTTTATAAATTTTAACGAGTTGTTTTATGTTTAACAGCCGATTAAGTTTAGATTTATGTCTCGCTATGGTGAAACATAATGTCGATCTTATCGTACTCGAGGGAATGGGAAGAACCCTTCATACCAATCTTCATGCAAAACTGACCTGTGAATGTTTAAAATTAGCTGTCGTTAAAAATCGATGGTTAGCGCTACGATTGGGTGGTGATATGTACGCTGTAATATGTAAATACGAACGACCACCGCAAGAAATTAAAATATACGATATAGAGATGAAACCGACGGAATGTCCACCAGAATGTGTAGAGACAGTAACGGAGATTTGCACCTGCGATATTAAAAAATAAATAACAATAAGGTAAATAGCGATATTCGATGATACATTCACAGATATATTATATTCAAATTCCTATTTCAATTTCAGGAACTGAAAAATCATACATTAAAGTATTTCTTCACTTACGTTTAGATGTATATACATGTGTATATGAACAAAAAATTTAAGTATATTTTAGAATTTCATACAACAATTTATGTATATTGTATAAAAACTTTTAAATATTTTTACAAAATTTATTGTTGTTTGTTTTCAACATTGTAATTGCTATAAAATTTATATTGGAAGTGATTATGAGTAAAAAGGAAGCTTGGTTGATTGCATCATATATTTTGCTCCACGATAAACTAAACGAAATTTATTAAAACGAAGGTTTGCAAATAATTTCACTTTTCTTTATATTTACAGTATGAATCGAGGTTATGGAATGTTCAATATTGTTGAATTAAGCAACTTTTACAATCCAGCCTACTTGTTGTTCAAGTATAAAAACTTTAGGGTTGACATGGATGAATCACGACTAACACCTAGTCAAAGACAATAAAATTATTTTCTCAGTAATTTAAAGAGGTTACCGTAGTTTAAACGATAAGCGATGCGATCAATTATGACAAAGATATGTATCATATGATATTGTATAGTATATCTTCTGTGATAATGTAATATTCAAAAAGGAAGTTACATATACGTGGTAAATTAGAACAATGAATTGGTACATCATAATAGAGTATATATAAAAGGAAGAAAAGAAATATATTAAGTTAGTACCTCCTAATCTTGAGATTAGAAATGAGCGGTTTCAAATGACATTGTTTTGCAGCATAATGAACTCAAATATTCCTTTTTATTATAATATTATGAAAACAATTTATTAATTCTGACAGTATTTATGAATACGCTATACGTTTTTAGAAATTACCAATTTGTGAAGATATACTTCCAGATTATACAACTGCTACCAAAATGATATTATAAACTCTTTTTTTTTTTCAAAAAATTTTATAAAATAAAATGATAAAAACGCGGAGTTTATATACAAAGTACCGAGTGACTTTAATAAAATGAAGACAATTTGTTGAAACTTGAAATTAATTACCTTGTTCCACAATAACATGGTTTTCGAAACAGAGATTTATATGTGAACAGTTTGTTAATACTTGATACAAATATATGCGTATGTGATACACGAATTGCTTTGTAATATGTAAATAAAATATGAATTTTCGAGATCCAATATTTTCAATTCATTTAATTAAGTCCTCTCTAGTAATATAATGTTAGTACAAATTAAAAGGATGTCTAGGATATGAAAAAACATTCTATTTCTCTTTTGTCAATGGACATGAGAAAAGTGAGAACTGTTCTTTCACTAAACTGGTCGTCAGAGTAGGAAAACGAAGGAAAAATGAAAGAAGAAAAAGTTGCATGCGGAACACGTTCTAAGTTCATTTCTTTCGACCACGTGTTACGTAACGTCCGGATATTCAGCTTTATTAAATTCTCATTCTGCGATATTGTCCAGTGATCCGGTTTCGAATTCGCTTTACGATACCTTTTTGAACACCCTTCAAAAGATTAAAAAATTATTAAAAACTCTGTGGTTTACATAGATTGCGTAAAAAAATCCACAGACCCTGTGGATTTAATCATCAATTTAATACCGATCTATCATTACATTAGTTATTCACGTTTCCTGAACACGTCTCCAAATTAAAGAAAAAAAAAAAAAAAAAAAAAAAAAATCGATCCCTATGGGGATTTGAACTCGCAACCTTTACATTTAACATCGCTGAATATATCAGAATATATTCATTTTAATAATTAATATTTTGATAGGACTTAAGATTATTATTTTCATCCAAATGAAGAATCTACATCCGCGAAGTCGCAAGGAAATAGTTAATCATGATTCAAAGTCACCCCGTGACAGAGGGTAGTTAAGGAGTAGAAACAAAGATCAACTATCTTCCTAAAAGCATTATGCTGTTCACCCGAGAGAAGTAGTTTCCTTCTTATGGAAAAGGACACTGGAATGAAGTCTAACAAGCATGCTCTTCGTTCCATAATTAAAGGATAACGTCATTCACGAATACAAAGAACCATCTGAAAAGAATTTCCACGAATTATTTGATCGTATTAAAATCGAATAAATTCAGTGCTATCAAAAGAAGAGAGGGAAAAAACGAGAAGTGTGCTTTGTTCTCGGTTGACAAAATTATTTTAATACATAGCTGTTGAAACCGATGCGATTCCTTTCACGCGAACAAATCGTAATAAACAGCTGTCCTTCTAGTGAAATTAAAAAGCGGTACACTCGTAAAACATGCTCTTTTCATAAAACGTTTGCGACCAACACACGTGAAACATTTTTTCCTGTTTCTACCTTTTTTCAAACTTCAGCTTGAAAATGAACGAGTAGTAATAACGAGCGTTGAAAAATTCAAGAGAAACTTAAAGGGTATTAAATTGCAGCTAGTTACCGAAATTTCTCGTTTAAAAATGAAGGAGAATTTCAGAAGTTTTTAAACCTGCAATCAACTATTAATATAGCAATTCCATGAAACGAGGGATGTAGAAAAAATGCAAGGAAATTCGAGCAAATCGATGCTGAATAGGATTAAAAAATCCAGCGCATCGTTAGCATAGATAAAGGGTGCGTGTTCTAATTACGAAATTAACGCAATTAGAGAGTGCTGGCGCTAGAACGAAGCAACGATTCATCATTACCCCGGTGTTCTGTGATTATTTATCGAAACATACTTGTGGTCGTTCATCTATCAACCCCCGATCGCTTCGTTGATCTTAATAATTCGATTTCGTGCGTTTGGACAGTGAAATTAATATTAAACGAATTTATTGATATCATAAATTTCGTTTAAAAATTACAGTTTCAATTTTGCGAGATAACAAGATTCCAAGTTTAAATTAGAAAATAATAATACTCTTCGTTGAGGAACACAGACTCTGTAAGGACCATTTCCGTTTCGAAAATAACGGATGGGATTAGCATCGTTATTAACTGTCGTCGTAAAAGCAAAGTCAATATCGTCGAAGAGCATTGTTTCAAATGAAGTGTCCAAAGTAATGGATCAATGTAAACGAATCTTGAATTACGCTCTCGTAATAAACGTTTCGCATTATTTAAAACGTAACAATGATCCTTGTGTTTATTTCATTTCCCTCGGATTCATGGTTTTATTAAAAGTTTTCGCGTTAATTACTGTTACGATATATCAGCTGCGGAGGATATTAACATTGCTAGAACAAGCTGTTGACAGAGATCGACAACGCTCGAGCAAATCCTTTCCATTAATAATGACGATATTAAACGTGACGTTGCTGTGAATTTCGCTAACTGATAAGCGCGTCACGTTTCACCGATTGCTGCATTCGTGATCATTTATTATCGACGCGGTTGCAAACGTGATTATCCGTGGATTATATCGATAATTAAGAAAAAATCTGATCTACCGTAGTTCGATCAGTTGCAACTATTGCAATTCCAAATTCGTGAAATTCTGTAGTCTCAAAATTTCTATATTCCTTAATTTTTAAATTTCCAAGTTCCAAAGCTTTCAAGCTCCCAAATTCCTAAGTTCCAAAAATGCAAAATCGCGAAGTTACAATATTTCTTAATTCTTAAATTTCCAAGTTCCCAAGTTTCTAAGTTCCAAGCACCCAGGTTTCTATGCTCTCAAGTTCCCAAGCTCCCAAGTTTCTAAGTTCCCAAGCTTCCAAGTTCCAAAGCTTTCAAGCTCCCAAGTTCTTTAGTTCCAAAATAGCAAAATCGAAGTTACAATATTGTCAAATTCTAAGATTCTAAGCTCCTCCGTGTCATTATTAACGAAGGTAAGAGAGCTGACCCACCCCATCGAAGAATCCCAATTACATCCCGACCCCATAAGAACATTTTCACGAATTTCCATCATCTGATGTTCGCGCAAATGGTAAATTATTTCTGCCGCATTCGCAACAGTTTTTTCGTCGGTTCCTCGACGGTGGTTAACCAACTGGCTGTTTCGTGACAATCGCGATGCTCCTTCATGAAACGCCCGGATTAATTAAAAGCCGTCCAGCATCGAAACTGGAAACGGAGTTCAACGAACGAGCTAGCGCAAACGTTCTCAGAGGGTTGCAAAACGTTTCACGAGAAGCATCGGTCGACCACAATTGCTCATCGCTTCTGGAAACTTTCCCTGGAACCTGTTGATGCCACTTCTGTCGATGTTTTTCGCTTTCCACCACGTTTCTCTCGAGGATGCGATGATTTTCCGCTTGAGGATCTCTTCAAGCTTGGCAGCCACGTTTCTCGACGGTACGCTGTGTTTTTCTTGCTGTTGATTTCTCTCCCTGTTTGTTTTATGTTAAATAGTTTCTCTTGTATTAGTTAAAGTCCTGTAGCTATGTTTTTTTAAACAATTTCTAATAATTTTCTCTCTATTAAAATTTTCTGGAAAATGTTCAATCATATTTTTCGAAATCACAGCTGGTTGTACGAGTACAATACAATTTTTCCAATCAATTCTTCTGTTCGATGTTTATTCGATTATCGAGAATGCTTCAGAATTGAGAGCGTAATGTCTCCTTGTTTGCCTCTTAATAAATGCACACACTGAAACGCGAATAATGTTTCTGTACGGTAAAGTGGATGGAATTACTCGTAATTTGGTAATGAGCACTGCGAAACGGCAACAAGAATCACCATAACCCACATCACGTACTACCGGTCATATGCGTAATGTAATGCTCCTAATGTAGGTACTATGTGTTATAACAATAGGATCCACTGATGGTGGAGGTACTACTAACGTGTTTGTGAAGCCCTTTACGGGTGGATATTATGCGTGGGTGTATGATGTACTAACGTGGCCTATTCGAAAAGGAAGAAGATCAGTCAAATTTCCAAATTCCACAATTCCAAAATTCCAAAGTTTCCAAATCCTCAAATTATCAAATATCTAAGTTTTCAAATTTCCAGATTCCTATATTTCCAAATTTCTTAAATTCCAAAGTTTCCAAATCCTCAAATTATCAAATATCTAAGTTTCCAAATTTCCAAATTTCCAGATTCCTATATTTCCAAATTCTCAAATTCCCAAATTCTAAAATTTGAGAAGTACAGAAACCTCAAATTTTCAAATCAAGATGTGCCCCACAGTGTACCCATTTGCCCATCGCTTCTCCAAAGGAAGTTTCCCATAAATCAAAATTATCCCTCCACCCCAATTGTCACCTGAAACCTTCAAAGCCCAGTCTCGTGCCGCTTTGTGTCTGGCCACGTGTTCGTAAACAAGAATTATTTAGTTCGGATAGAAATGGAGGATGGCGACGGAGAGGAGGTTCGCCATCGGCGCGTGATAGAATCGCTCACGATTAAGCGAGCATCACGCCTCCGCGAATTTTCCACGGATGGTCGAGTCGTTGGATAGGCTATGTTACAGGTGTACTCGTGTTCATTGGCCAACCATGACCCCGTGCTCGTATCACGAGAATATTGCGTACGTGTTGGCAAAGAGAAGATCGTACAGAAGCAAGTGCATTAGTATAAGTAGGTAGGGGTCAGGCTGACCCTGTCAAAAAATAACAAAACAAATATTTATCTTATGGAAATTGCAATATCTAATATGAAATTATCAATTAAAATGAACATTTTTATTAAAATTAGAGGACTAGAATTGGGGGTGTGTAGATTATCCATTACTGAAAATGATTCTCTTTTCGACACTTTTGGACGGTTGTTCGAATATAATGGCCGTCATACCGATTCCCATCGCGATTGTTGCTATTATCGCCAGCCTTGTAAGCTCGATGTCGACAAAGCTACTGTTATCGTACTTAAGGGTAGTCGGTTGAGCTTCGGCTTTTGGGCTGAACATGGAATTGTGCGGAGCGAACTGCTGTCAAGATTAACGCGATGGAATTGTGGAATGAGTCTGAAGCTTCTTCGAACTTTAGATATGTAAGGGAAATTGACACAGATACCGGGCGAAGTTTAATCCAACTATGAAAATTTCCCTATCTGTTTCGTGGTAACTGTGATTAACAATTATAATTGTTCATATTACTCAAAGTTAATTCTAAATACAAAAATTAGATATCCAAATTAGTTAAATAGAAGAATTTCAAAATTTACAAAATGATGTCTAAGGTAGTCTAAAATTGACCTAATTTCGTATGCGAACAACACCGTTTCTAATAAGGACGTTGTTAAGTAGATTCAATAAATTCGACACG